AAAAGCCCAGATCGCCATTTTCACGATCGGGGCTTTTTGCACAAAACAAATCTCAGCTGTCTACACTGGCCCTTTTGCGCAAAAGGGACTTTTGCCCGAATGGGAGCAGCATAGTATTTCCGCAAAAAGCACTGATTTCTTACAGTAGGAAGTCAGTGTTCTTGCGGAAATTCAAGCGGCCAGTGTAGACAGCTGGCAAGTTGTTCCGGAAAAGCAGCTGATTTTGCGGAAAAACTGGCCAGTCTAGACACAGCCTGGCCGTGTGTTCTTGTGCAAGTAAACTGACGTTCTACTGTATAAAATCAGGGCTTCTTGCGCAACAACTATGATGCTCCCGTTCAGGAATAAGCGCTCTTGCTCAACTATTCTTGCGCAAGAGGCCAGTGTAGACAGGCAACATGAATTTCTTGCACAAGAAAGCCCTATGGTTAAAATGACCATCAGAGCTTTCTTGTGCAAGAGAGCATCTTCATTGGCATGGATGTTCTTGCGCAAAAGCACATCTCTTGCACAAAAGCACATGCCAGTGTAGACACTCTCTTTGGGAAGAGTTTTAGCACAAGAACTCTTCTGCAACAGAGTTCTTGTGCAAGAAGCTGCCAATGTAGATGTAGCCATAGAGCTGGAAGAGACCTCAGGTCATCAAGTCCGGCCCCCTGCTTTAGGCAGGACCAATCCCAACTAAATCAACCCAGCCAGGGCTTTGTCAAGCCGGGTATGTCTACACTACCACCCTAGTTCGAACTAGGGTGGTAGTGTAGACATACCCGGCTTGACAAAGCCCTGGCTGGGTTGATTTAGTTGGGATTGGTCCTGCCTAAAGCAGGGGGCTGGACTTGATGACCTTCTGCAGTCTCTTCCAGTTCTATGATTCTATGAAGTGAGGCATTGACACAGCTCTGATCAAACTACACATAAAAAAGGTCTCTGTCATTGGGCTTCTCACTTCCTGGGCAAAATCAGCCAATAGCTGGCATAAACTCAGCAAGATATTCTGTAGCCACTCCCCACCCAGATATACTCTGCTATAGGTGGACACAAGAGACAACCAACCATATACATTGGTCTAGAGCCAGTTTCCCTTCCTTGACAGCCTGTTTCTCAGCACCTCTCGCCACATCAGTGAGAGGAGTAGAGTCTGCTTGATGGTTATCAGCACCTGCTTTTTTCGGGAAAAGTAGCCTTTTTCCGAAAAAACTTCCCCTGCGTCCAGACTCAAGCCGCGTTCTTTCGAAATTATTTTGAAAGAACGCGGCTTTTCTTTCGATGGCGGTAAACCTCATTTCACGAGGAAGAACGCCTTCTTTCGAAAGTTCCTCTTTCGAAAGAAGGCGTTCTTCAATGTAAATAGGGCTTCTTTGAAAGAGAGCATCCAGACTCACTGGATGCTTTCTTTCGAAAAAGCAAGCCGCTTTTTAGAAAGTTCAACGTGCAGTCTAGACGCTCTCTTTCGAAAGAGGCTTGCAGTCTAGACATAGCCCTAGGGAAATAGTTTTTCCTAATATCCAACCTGGACCTCTCCCACCACAACTTGAGATCATTGCTCCTTGTTCTGCCATCTGTCGCTACTGAGACCAGCCTTTCTCCATCCGCTTTGGAACCGCCTTTCAGGAAGTTCAAGACTTCTTCACTTCCACAAGGCCAGACCAAGTCAACTTACTACCCCAGCCCTGCCAGGGGTGGGTGGAGGTGGGAGTGTCCAACTTCTTCATAAAACCATCCGGTGATGGCTGGCAGCAGCCACCTGTGTCTCCAGATGGCAGCATTGAGCAATTCTGAAAGTTAACACCGTCCGCCTCTCATGTTTTTTCCTGCCTTTGTGGCCACTGAAAACAATGGTGGTGATTTGAGTCTTCCCTATGAGGGCAAATTTGCATAATTGCTCATTGCTGTTCTCTGGGCTCTCTTCCAGAAGTCCAGCCTGCATTCCTCCTCAGTTATTCCTTCAATTTTCCAGACCAAAATTTCCAGACCAAAATATCACCCCAATGCCAATCTTCCCTAATTTTCTCCATCAATATGGAGAATGAATTTTGTAATGTGCACCAAAACACGTGCAGATGTGCACCACCATAAAAACACATGCTACCCACTGTGAGCACTCTGCTAATCAGCTGGGCAGCACCTGAATCTCTCCTGAGCAGTCGCCCAAGTGCTCAGATTACAGGGAACACTACTTGATGCATCCCAAGAACTTCTTGGAAGTTTGATATTTTGCTGCATTACTTTTTCAACACACTTCCACATAGTTAATGCCCTGGGCATGGGACATTTCTGCTATATGGTTATACTGGGGGAGATTCTTTGCTGGAGGTTTTCAAAAGGTATCTGGTCAGCTGTCTGCCTCATATGATTTAGACACAACAAATCCAGCATTTAGTCTATTGATGGTCCCGGTGGTTCTGTTGTAAAAAAGCCTTTGTGAGAGACCCCAGCACCCTTTTCTTCACCCTTGTTCTATTACTGGGATATGTTTTGCACAAAGTATGTCTTTCTAGAAGTTGTGACCAGCTAGGCAGGAATATCTTGGTGGATCATATGTGTTTTCGCAGTACATGAAGTTACAAAGTTTGGCTGGGTATGTTACTGAAGCATTTTGAGGTTGAAATCCCACACATGGCAAACAACGTTAATGGCCTATTGAGTGAATGCACACAAGGTTTGCCCCAGGAATCTTCCCGAGATCATCCTGCACAACAGGGACCACTTGGCCAAGTGCACAGAGAAAGAGCTTTCTGGCAAATGGGAAGATATAAAAAGGTGGAAGTGACATCATAGAAGGGACCACACTCCTCCTAGGACAACACACATGGGAATACCTGAGGAGAGCCCTGAGTACCTGCATCTGTAAAAATGAGCCACGGATATCCATATCCACACATGCGGTTACAAGCGGCTATCCGCAGGCTCGCGGGGCACTCCATCTGAGAAACAAAAACTGAATGGCAGGAAGCGCTGCTCCTGGGCTAACAGGATTTCTAACCTGTGCCTTAAGAATCAGCTGGCCTGTTAATTTGTTAGTTCATATTCTACCTACCATGTGCATTCAGCTCAGTTTGCGGTTGGGGCTTTCATTTCTTTTCTCCCTCTGTAATCACCTCACGTCTCTCCTTGTGCTGCAAATAAACTTGTTTTCTCTTTTTACCCAAACCAGCTTGGACGAAGGTGTCTGGGGAAAACCGCAGCTTGCTTCCCACACAGCCTCCTTTCCCATTGAAGGTGACCAGTGTTCCCTGTAAACCAGATGCTTGTGCAGCTGCTCAGGAGAGATTCCAATAGTGGCCAGCTGATTGGCAGAGCGCTCACAGTCCCCATGGCTAGCAGAATGAGTTTCTACTGGTGGTGCACATCTGCACTTGCCTTGCTGCACAGAACAAAATGTATTTGGCTCATGGTTGGAAAAGATTAGAGGGAACAGTGGAGGCAACCCAAGATCAAAGCTGTATATTGGCCAGATTTGACAAGAGCAGGACAGTCCCAGACTGGGAAGGGGGAGGTCAGAGAGCCAGCATGTGACTGCTGCTGGGGGCATCCCTTCCTGTGTGAATGCCAATGAAAGTACAAGCTTGCAGGGCTTGGCAGTTGGGCACAGCAGTGCAGTATAAGGGAGCCCAACAGATGGGTTGGGGGGGGTGTGACGACGCAGTCAGGGTTCCCCCGACACTGCACCCCCGCAGCAGCAAGAACAGACTCCACCAGCCAGTAGAATAGAGGATTTATTGCTTCTCCAGGATACAGCACAGCACAGATGTGCTATTGCTACAGGAGTCTGGGCCAGGATGCCTCCGACCCCATGAGATGGGGTCCCTGGGCCCCTAGATTCCAGCCCCCTCCTTAGACTGGTTCCTTCATGATTCCAGCCCAAAACCAACCCTTCGCCTGAACACTCACTTCCCTAGTTCCCTCGCTGCCCCAACTGTCTGACCGGTTGAGTCTTAGGCAGCCACCTGCTGGGCAGTGCTCACAGGCAGAGGCCAGTAGGGGTCATCACAGCCCAAGCACCGCAACCAGCAAGGTACTGACACTACATCACAACATGTGGGTGAGTCAGTGGGAATCACACATGGGGACCCCAGGTTAGAGAGCAAACAGCACCCCCACCAGGCCACAGGGGGCTCAGTGTAACCTCAGTTCAAGGGGTGAACCCATCACACCCTCCTCCACCTCCAGCCAAATCATTGGGAGACGCCCCCTTTCACTCCCATTCTTCTTGGCTCGTCAATCCCAGAACTTTAGCCCGTGCCCCAGGGCCAAATCCACAGATCAAATAACCTCCTTAATCCTCCTCCATCTCCTCTCTCGCTCTGACCCCTCCCTCCACTCGGGGGTCACCCACTGTGATAAGGTGGAGATTTTATTCTCCTTGTTGTGTATGTGAGTTCTACTATCCTGTATTAACCCTATGCATATGCCTCAGTTTCCCTGGGCCTTGCACCAATACCTAGATGGGGATGGGAATTCAGTGCGTCAGCTTCCCTCCCTATACAATGGCTGATGGCCATTTGTAACCTAAGCCCAGGAGGAGGAGGTGACAACTTTTGCCTGGAAAGCAGGACAGAGATCAAAGGAAGAGCTGGGATGGGGGCTAGGACCAAGAGCTGGGTGTGGGTCAGTCTCACTGGCTTGGGGAGGGGGCCAGGGCCCTGGCTCTGGGACCCCTCTCCCCAAGACTGATTGTCCTGACTGTTCCTGCTTCCCGTGCCGACAAGTCTGTTCTACGTTGTGTCCCTGCCGACTAATAAACCTTCTGTTCTACCTGCCAGCTTAGAGTCACATCTGGCTGTGAATGGGGGTGCAGGGCCCAGTGGCTCCCCCGCATCTCAGTGATACCAGCAAGGCTGCTGTGTGTCTTCAGCCCAGTGCACCCGGGATTAATACTGTTGGGGCAGAAGACCAGACCCCAAGTGGCACCAAAACTGTTTGAGACTGAGTCCCTGCTCCCAGCTGGTTTGGGACCCCTTTCCCCGCAGTCTCACACACATGGCAGGGGAGGAGGCAGCTAAGAAAAAGCTAGATTTATTGTATAAAAGTTGGTACAAAAGTTCGCCAGAAGGGACGGGCATAGAGAGTGGCGCAGGAGACGGGGACAATAGGGAGCGGGTTCACCACAGGGCCTGTGGGTGGAGTTAGAGCCCCCAAGGGGCCGGGGGTCCTCAGTAGGATGGCACCAATCTTTCCTCCCCACAATCCTGAGAAGGGGGGAGCCCCAGTGCTAGGGGAAGAGGAACCGTAGGGGCTGAGCCTCCTCCCTGGGAGAGGAGAGATTTAATAGAAAAAAACTACTCTGTCCAAAAGTGGCAGTGAAACTTAGCTTAGTGCAGACAGGATGGGGGAGGGGGGCGGGTGTGGAGGAATTTATTCTGAATCCTCTTCCTTCACCAGCAGTTTCTTCCCACTTTGCGGCAGCGGCCCATCCCCCCGCTCCTTCCGGGTCTTCAACCACCTGCCGCAGGGGAGAGGGAGAAGAGATTCAGAGCCAGGGAGAGAACCTAGGAGTCCTGGCTCCTAGCCCCCTCTCCCCCACTTTAATCCACCAGCCCTCATTCCCTTCCTGGAGCTGGGGAAAGAACCCATGAGTCCTGGTTCCTAGCCCCTTGCTCGAACCACTAGATACCCCTCCCCTCTCAGAGCAAGAGGAGAACCCAGCAGGATCTGGCCCACAAGGGTAGAACTGAATCCCACCCCTTTTCAAGCAAGGACCTGCCCTCCGAGTCAAGCCAGGGTCTGCCCTCTTTCCATGAGGAGTGGGGATAGGGGAGCCTCCCATGGGGCAGTCAGACCCCCTCCCCAAGAGGACAGCTAGGCCCCATCTCCTTCTACCAAGGGGAAGACCTTCCTGTGGTGCAGCCAGATGGATACCCTGCTCCCTTTCTACTTGGGGGTGACACTCACGCCTTGGGGTTCCTCTGAGTCTCCAGCTCCCCCTGCGGCCTCGCAGCCGCCACCTCCAGGGCATTGTTGATTTTCTTCAGCATCTCGTAGTTTTCGCGCCCATGAACCTAGGGAGTGGGGAGGAACGAAATGGCGGGGTTCATACCTTCCCCAGACAGACCAATCCTCACTCCACTAGCACACAACAGACAGACAAACCTGACCCCACCAAGACTGTCTAAGGCAGATCTATTCCCATATATCACACCCTAAGGGTATGTCTACACTACCCCGCTAGTTGGAACTAGGGGGTAATGTAGTCATCCGCAGTTGCAAATGAAGCCTGGGATTTGAATTTCCCGGGCTTCATTTGCATGAAACCGGCCGGCGCCATTTTTAAATGCCGGCTAGTTCGGACCCCGTGCCGCGCAGCTACACGCGGCACGGACTAGCTAGTTCGGATTAGGCATCTAATCTGAACTAGCTGTACACCTCGTTCCACCTTGTGGATTAGAAGCCTAATCCGAACTAGCTAGTCCGCGCCGCGTGTAGTCACGCGGCACAGGGTCCGACCTAGCTGGCCTAATCCGAACTAGCTAGTCCGTGCCGCGTGTAGCCGCGCAGCACGGGGTTCGAACTAGCTGGCATTTAAAAATGGCGCTGTCCGGCTTCATGCAAATGAAGCCTGGGAAATTCAAATCCCGGGCTTCATTTGCAACTGCGGATGACCACATTACCCTCACTAGTTCGAACTAGCGGGGTAGTGTAGACATACCCTAAGACTGGAGAAACCCGGGCCCAGAACCAAATCCCTCCCCCCAGATCAGTCCAACCACTCTCCCAAACCTCCTCCCCCATATCACATGCACCTGTCTACCACTGTTCCCCTCCACAGCAGTCTGATCTCCCATTCCTAGCATCCCCTCAGCACACAAACTGCCGACCCAGCCTACTGCGTGTAAGGTTGGGTCCCTCATAGTCAACCCCGCCCCTCCCATCAGAACCCTGGATCCAAAAGGCTCCTGGATCCAAAAGGCTACAGTCCCAACACCCTTCAAACCCCTTCTAGAGCCAGAGAGAGAACCCAGGAGTCCTGGCTCCCAGAGCCCCCTGCTCTAATCTATCAGCCCCCACTCTCCTTCCTGAGCCAGGAAGAGAACCCAGGAGTCCTGAGCCCCAAACTTCTCCACCAGGACTCACTTCGAGGCAGAAGACCTCTTTGTCGGAGGACACGGTCCGCTTCTTAGGGTTCTCAGATGCCTCCATGGTGGCTTGGAGAGCTAAGGGGAAGGTAGAGCATATGTAACACTCACTGGGAAATCACTCTGCCCCATGCTGGGGAAAGTAACCCAGGTCTACTCCCAGCCCTCTCCTCTAACCACCAGCCCCCCCCGCACTGCTCTGCCAGATACAGGGAGAGAACCCAGGAGTCCTGGCTCCCAGCCCCCCTGCTCTAACCCACTGGCCTCCACTCCCCTCTTTCACAGTGGAAAAAATTAGGGGGGGGTTCATTACAATTTTTATCTCACATTCATGCCAATTTTTATCTCACTTTTTCACAGTGATGAAAATTAGGGTTTTTGAACATTTGCACCAGTTTGGATCAATTTCTTTTTGTCATTATTGCAGGAAATGATGGAGAAGGGCCCCTCAAATATTCACCAAGCTTCAAAAAAACAAACCAGTTTATAACTGCCAGCAATACATATTGTTGGCACCACCCGGTCAACAATATTCCCAAAACCAAATATTCCAAACATGCTCAGTCTGATTCAAGGATATTGACTTGACTTTGCCGATTTGTCAGTTTCTATTAGTGATGGAAATAATTGATCATTGCTTTGCGTGGGTGAAGCAAACAGAACGTTTAATGATATTTTCCAATATTTATTCCGTAACTGTAGGTGTGAACGTGTAAACGTGTACAAGATTAACTGATGAGGTAGCAGTGCAGGGTGGGAGTAGGCGGGAGCTGGTAAATGCGGGGAGCCAGCTTCAGATGGTTCTCCTCCCCCCAATGTAACCACTGAAATTTAATGGAATTCCTACTTAAACATTTTACAAAAACAAAAACAAAATTAAATGGACAAATTTCAGCCATCCATTTAAAAAAAAAATCCCAAATAAAAATTAAATGAATTTAATAAAAACAGCACTGTATTTTTGAAAAATACAATCATTTCAATAAAGCATGTATGTTTTCCTTTTATTTAAAAACAAAAACAATTAATTGAGTTAAAGACCCGAGCAACACCAGGTAAATCTGCTAGTACTTAAAAATCCCTTTTGTTTAGTAGTAAACCCATTAGCTATTACTACCCTGGGGGAGCAAGAAGCCTGTGCATCTCTCTCTACATTGAGAATGAGGGGGAATTTGAAGAGCATAGACTATATAGCTCTCTCATTTCTATCACTATATAGCTCTCTGTACAGCATAAGATTTATCTAAGGTTTGTAAGTATGTCCTTAATACTGCATGAGTACTAGTGGCTCTGTTCACACCTAGATCTATAGAACTATTCATTAGAGCCCCATGTGGTTTTCAATTAATTAAGCAGCTTGTTGATTGGCTAAGAACCTCATTGGAGGCAGATAGTCTGACCTTGGAGTGCAAATCACCAAGCCAGCTTCTGCACCATTCCAGTGCCGACTAGAAACTGGGCTAGTGGAGGGATGGGACCAAGAGAGGTATGTATGTGGGAGGCTCCCAAGTGGAGCGGAGCCAACAGTGGGGGTAGGGATGTAGGGGACATGGCTAATCTGGCTGGGTTGATTTCAGCTTTGATATGCAATTGCTGCTGAATTAATGGTGAAACAAAATACAGGACTATATAGCACTTTATGGTTGTGACTATTTTCTTCCACTATTTGATCTGAGGAAGTGGGTCTGGCCCACGAAAGCTCATCATCTAATAAACCATCTTGTTAGTCTTTAAAGTGCTACATAGTCAGATCAAAGGAAGTGGGTCTGGCCCACGAAAACTCATCACCTAATAAACCATCTTGCTAGTCTTTAAAGTGCTACATAGTCCTGTATTTTGTTTCAGCTACACCAGACTAACACGGCTACATTTCTATCACTATGCTGAATTAATGATATTCACTCCCATTGGGGCAAGTCCCTATTGGCCCTGACCATCAGGAGCCCCATCTCCCTTCACTCTTGGCCCTTCCTCTCATCTACCCCTTCGGTTCTGCCTCCTCAAAACCCCCCACGCTCCCTTCCGCTTTCCTACTCGGATCCCTTGGGCCTTCCCCCACACTCACTCCTCTTGGCTTTGCTCTCTTTGAGGACCACGCTTCCGCTCAGGGCCCGGCAAGACAATTTTTTGCGGTGATTCTCCTCCTCCGTCCTGCGGTCCCGCCCGGGGCAGGCGCACACTCGAACCTCAAAGCATCGGCGCCCCAGGAGCTGCCCGCTGTGCCAGGAGGTCAGAGGAGAGACATTAGAAACAAACAGAAACCCCAGAGTCCTGGCTCCTGATCCCCCTGTTCTAACCACCAGCTCCCATTCCCCTCCCAGAGACAGGGAGAGAACCCAGAGTCCTGGCCCCCAGCCCAACAGCTCCCCAATGCCCCATGGCTGACTGGGCATTCAGAGGTTGTGCGGGGCTGCCCAGTTCTCTCCCAAGCTCTGGCCCCAGAGGGGAGATAGCTTGGCCCCGGCATGAGACAATGGGGCAGGCTGCCTAGGGCAGCACTGGGGGGGGCACTTACTTCTTGCTCTCCAGAGTGATGATGGCCAGGATGGGGCGGCGGTTCATTCCCCCCATGCAAGAGCTGTTACACATGAAGTTGTAAAGCACAGTGATGCAGTCAGACCCCACCTGCAGGGAAGAAATGGAATTACAATTAGTCTGGCATCCCCTAGAGGGGACAGGACCCTGCCCCACTCCCCACCCCCGCCCCCAGCCAGTCCCTGCCCTAGAGGCAGGTGGGCACCAGCGCCCCCTAGAGGGGACAAATCTAGTGCCCCATTTTCTGCCCCCGCTCCCCCCGAGCCACACAGTCCCTGCCTGGGGCCATGTGAGAGCAGCGCCCCCTAAAGGAGACAGGCTCCATGCCCCATTCCCTGCCCCCCTAAATGAGTCAATCCCTCCCCTAGGGCTGGGTGGGAGCTGGTGCCCCCTGGAGGGGACAGGACCCGTGTCCTGGTACCTGGGGTGTCTCATAGGGCACCGTAACGCTCTGGCGCTTGGTGTTCTCGTCATCGCGGTAATAGGCCTGATGGTTCCCTTCTATGCGGATCAGGTGCTGGGCTGGGGCGACCCCTGTCCAGAGAAACAAGGGAGCAGCTCAAGAGGAGACACCTCTGGGCCCCCCTCCCCAGCATCCAGCCTTTTTCTCCCATAGATCAGAGCCCCCTCTGCATCCCGAGATCCCTCCAGCCCAGTCTCCCATCCCCTGCAGCAGGGAGTTTTGCTGGTTGTCATCCCCCCAGGCTGTGCTGCCTCACCGTCACTGTAGTCTGCGGAGCGCTCATGGTGCGGGCAGCGGCTCCCCAC